CTTTCTTTCTTTCTTTCTTTCTTTCTTTCTTTCATTCTTTCTTTCTTTCCTTCTTTCCCTTCCGTCTTGTCCACATAGGGTATCATAGCCTTACCTATGGATGCTCTGCCCAAAGGAATGTAAATTTTGATCACTGAAATCTTTTTTTTTCTTAAGGATCACTCCTTAAACCCAAATAACTCTGGTTCTCATTGATTGGCTAACAGCAGGTCTCAGTCCAAGCTCTACTTGGTCATTGTTTGGGCCCTGACTGACTCAGGGTGAATGTAAATAGCAGTTGTTTCTGTTTTGGCCAGAAACCCTGAGAGTCCTCCCTTCCCAGACTGATTTTTTTTTGTACTAGGTAAAGAGGCTACTCTCTACCTCATTTCTTGCCTAGCCTTAATCACCGAATGGGCATTGCCTCAGTCAAACTGAGACCTGGGAAAGACCTTAGCTTAAAAATGCTATGGTCTCCCATTGCATCTGGGGCCATCTCCAGTTGTCCTGATCTATATCTGGCCTCTGGACCCAGATAGCTCCAGAGGAGAAAGTGCGGCTTGGTGACTTTGCACAGCCCTCCCTCACTTAAATCCAATTCACTTGCGTGTCATGGCATCACCTCCTTGATGTCACACTCCTCTTTGAGAATGGAGGACAAACAACCACAACTCTATCTACATATGACATGAAGTATAGGTTTGTCACCACCCTGGTTGCCCTCTTAACAGTCTTAGCTTATCACCGACTCCTGGAATAAACCCAATCCTCCCAATGTGGTCCAGCTAGAGCAGAGTACAGGAGGGTTATTGCTTCCTTGTTTCTGGATGTTATGCCTGCCTCTCACAATACATCAGCATTTTGGCTGTTAGATTATACAGATTAGATAAGCAAGACTTAGAAGGAAACACATTTGGTTGTCTAGACTTTGATAAACACAAGAACAGAAAGCACTGGGTAAAGAACTCTTAACAAGAAGTTCGGGGACATTTTTTTATAAAAGTCATGAGAAAAATGGGTTTAGATTAGCATCTTATACCACAGAGAACAATGAATTTCAAATAGATAAAGGAACCAAAGATGTCACATTATTAAAAATTTAAAGGAGAATGGAAGGCCATAGCTCTTGCAGCTGTGGATGAGAGATTAATTTATAACTAACATGACATAGAGAACATTATAAAACACAAAATAGATTACTTTAATTACAAAAAAATAAACTTTTATGAAATAATTATAGTTAGAATAAGAATAGAAACAGGAAAAAAATCTCTGCATAAAACATCTCTGTAAAAGTCTGACATCCAAAATTTGTGGGAAATTGACACAAATCTATGATTAAGAGCCATTCCATAATAGATAAATCATCAAAGGACATGAATAAATGGTTCTGAAATGAAGAAAGGCAAGCTCTCAAAAACCATAGATTGAAATTTCTAATAATCTGAGAAATGTAAATGAGACCCATAAGCTCACATCAATCAAACTGGTACAGGTGATTAAAGACTGAAAAATTCAATGAGATGGCTTACTACTGGTGGGGTGTAAATTATTCCAACCACTGTGGAAAACAATTTGGAATTTTAAAATGCAATAAGCATTTATTTAGTACATATTTTGTGCTGTGCTAGGCATTAGGGGAAAAATGAGAAAAAATAAAACAGTCTTTGACCTCAAGAAGGTTACGTTCTGTTGAGGGGTGGGGGAGGAGAATAATGTACACAAACTAGTAAACACAACAGTTTTAATAGCTTTAAATGGCATTAAGACTTTTGGGACACCCGGTATGTAAAGTAAATTGGGGGGAGGTTAGTCAAATGGGTCCTCCTGAAGGTAAAGGCATAGGAGGTGAACCTTTAAGGGAAGTTAGAGACTCCAATAGGTGAAATGGAGTGATGGCAGACAAAGAAACAGAGGTGGGAGATGAAATACTGCGTATGGAGAATATAAAGGAAGACAATTTGTGATTTACTTGACATAAAGAAAACTTCTTAACAATTGCAGCCATCCTAATATGGAAATACATTTTGCATGATTTTACATGTATAATTAATGTCACTTTGCTTGATCGTGAAGGCTTCAAATGTCAGAGAAGTCTACATTTAACCTAGAGGCAAAAGAGAGCTACTGTGAACACGGGGTGTCACAGTTGGACCTGTGCTTCAGGAATCTCAGTTTGGTGGCTGTTCATAGGATGCACTGGAAAGGGGAGAGGCTAGTTGCAGGAGATAAATTAGAAGGCTACTAGTCTAGAATGAGGTGATGAGTACTTGAACTCCAGTGGTGGTGAAGAGAAGGAAGAAATGTTATGTTGGTAGGAAGACTAGGCAATTGACTGCACATATGAGGGATGAATGAGAAGGGAAAGAAACTGAGGCTAGCTCAGAGCTGGTAAATATGTGGGTGACTGGAAGGATGGTGTTGGCCTTGACAAAAATAGACAAGTGAGGAAGAGGGCTGGATTTGAAGAGGAAGATAACAATTGCCATCTTGGCCATATTGATTCTGAGATGCCTACAAGATGTCCAGGAGAAGATATCTTGAAAGCAGCTGGTGGTGAACTGAAACTCAATAGAGAAGGATGAGCATATGGTATGTAGATTTGGGAGTCATCTACAAGAAAGAGATTGTAGAGAGAGAAGGGACTAATTCCTAAAAAAAAAAAAGTCAAACCAAGAAGCATTTATTAAGTGCCTACTATGTGCCAGGCACTATGTTAAGTGCTGGGAATCCAAAGAAAGACAAAAAGAGTCCCTGCTATCAAGCAGTTCACAGTCTAATGGGATAGACAATATGCAAACAACTATGTACAAATGAAATATATAGGATCAATAGGAAATGATCTAGTGAAAAAGGAACAGGAATTAGGAAAGGCTTCTTGTAGAAGGTAGAATTTAGATGGGACTTGAAGAAAGCTAGGGATATCAGCAGACAGAGATGAGGAGGAAGAGATTTGCAGGTGTGGAGAATAGCCTGGGAAAATGGCTGGAGTTAGGGTCAAATCCCCTTTGACCCACTGATCCCACTTCATGGTTTATATTCAAGGTGGTTACTAACAAAGAGACTTTTCTGTATGAAAATATTTGTAACCCCAGCTTCAAGCCTGGAGTACTTGCATAAGACTATCCTCACTGGTGGATAGAATGATGACTCAGTGAAGCATGCCTGTGTGATGGGGAAAGTTGTTCTCAGAGCTTTGGAGAGGAGAGATGACATTCTTTTTCTTTCCTGATTTGAGAAAGGACACATGGTTCTAAGCTTTCTTTAGGGGAGAGACCCATAGAAATAGAAAAGACTTTGGAAGCAAACATGTAAGGAAAAGCAGACGTGTTCCTGATTTTCAGCTGGCCTCCCCTGAGCCTTTGGGGAGTTTCCCTTTGGGTGAGATTAAGGCTTCTCTCTCGGTTACAGCTGAGATAATCTCACTCCCAGTAGCAGAGTTAATTCACTCTGTGTGTTCTAATATCTCTGATTCCTGTTTGTTATTTACTTGGATAAATGGATCTACTTTCAATTCACTATTTTTGATAGTCTTTGTGTAACTAGTATTTGGTAAGGAGTCAAGTATGCAGATGTAAGCTTGGGGTACCTCTTCCCCCCCTTTAAGCAACAGCAACCAGGAAAGTGACTTGAACCTAAAAAAAATCATTTCTCTAGGTTAACAACGTTTGGGGAGGTGGACAGATATAATTACAGTTCTTCAATACCCCTCTTTCTCAGAGGAGAATAGCACAACCACCCTCTCATCCCCCAAGTCAACACCTCCTTGCTTTCAAAGCTTCTACCTTGGTCAGGGAACTCTGGCAATGAAATCATATATAGAGAAATATTTTCCCACGGCACTTTAGAAACTATAAAAACTTTCTCATTTCTTAGTTAGGTATGGAGGACTGCATATACTGGGCAAGATGGTCATCCACCAACAGAATGTGGCTTATGTTAGTTCTGTCTTTCCAGAGATAGAGAGTCAATGCACAGAAGTTCCAGAGGCCTGTTACAGGTCCTTCTGATCTCCATGTGTTGGCAGCAGCATGGGTTGGCAGCCCTTTCCACTGGACGTGTCAGAGACAAGTCCCATACTTATTTCCATCTGTTGCCATCTTGGGCCAGCAGAATCTGTTTCTTACTAAATCAAGCGTCCTCTCTTCATCCAAATGTCCAAAGTCATCATGCAGGGCAGTCAAGGCGCTAAAGTGAACATCTCGGGTTGCACCAGCTGCTTCCTGGTACCAAACATGGGCGGGATTATCTATAGTCTCCTATACCATGCCAGGGCACAGTTCCAAATTTCATTGCGTCTTCAGAGCATCTACACACATTATTGGTCTTCCCAGTCTGATAATATAAATCAAACTCATGGTTGGCTAGAGCCATCTTGAATAGGTGGTTTTTAACTTGCTGCTGTCACTGGATGGCTGCCCAGCACAGCTAGTAAGTGTCAGAGGCTGGATTTGAACTCCTGAGCCAAGGCCCAGCACTCTATCCACCACACCCTCTAGCTGCCTTTGTAGTAGACAGCTTATATACATCGCAAAATCCCCTTAATGGTGAAAGGCAGTAGACAGTATTAAAAAACAGAAAAATCTCCTCTCTTCTTTTTTTCAATGTTGACCTTTCCAGGCCTAGATTTAGGTTTTGCTAATAAGCACCAAGAGAGAGTTACATCTGAATTATATAACTATTCATTTGGAAATCTAAGAGACAGAAGGGATTAAAGGCCAGGATGCTAATTTGTAGAGCTATGGAAATTTAAACAAACAAGTGAAAGCTCTTACTTTGTAGGGCTTATACTTTTCACTCCAGAGCCCCCTAATTTCTGGCTCTGTTAGTGTTTCTTCTTCCTCAATATTAAGAAATTCATCATCAGTGGAGCCAACGCTCGAGGAGTACTTTTGTTCAGATATGGAAGCATGTTTGTGACTGTCCTGTAATCAGAGATAGAAAACACTCAGCACAGTATGTTGGATGGGGCTCAGTGCTATTTAACTATCATGTCTTCATTTGACACTGGAATGATAAAATGTTTGCTTAAAAACGCATATAATTCTTTTATTGATTTCTTGCCATCAAATGCTACCAACCAGCTTTTCTTCCATTCATACGCCATTAAAAACAAAACGACAACTCTTTGGGTATTTTTTAAATGACACATAACATTTTAATACAGCAAGCAAAAAGTTAAAATATATGATGTACCCAGATTAGTTACATAGAAAAGGAGAAGAGAAGGGAATAAATATTTATATAGAGCCTACTATGTGCCAGGCACTGTGCTAAGTTCTTTATAAATATTATCTCATTTGATTCTCACAAAAACCCCTGGGAGGTAGGTGCTATCATTATCCCCATTTTACAGTTGAAGAAACTGAGGCAGACAGCGGTTAAATGATTCGCCCAGGGCCACACAGCTAGCCTCTGAGGCTAGATTTGAACTTGGCCTTCCTGACTCTAGGCCCAGCACTCTATGCACTGTACCTCTCAGCTGCTTCATGGTTTTCCCTTTTTGCTGTGTTGATTGCGTGATTTCCTCTCCCTTACCACCTCTTAACCCTTTTTAACCTTCCACTTCGTTCTTCCTAAGACCTTGCAGAATAATTTTGGGGAGCTCCTGAAGAGCAAGAGAAACACAAAGAATAAGGGAGGAAGGTTAGGGATTGAAATATCTTTGGCTTTCCCTGTATCTGCTGCTGAAGGGATGGGGAAAGCTTCCTGTAGAAGGTGGGATTTTAGTTGGGACATGAAGGAAGCCAGGAGGCAGAGATGAGGGGAGAGATCATTGCAGGAATGGGGGACAGTCAGAGAAAATTCAGGGGGCAGAGAGATGGAGGGTCTTGTTCATGGAACAGCCAAGAGGCCAGTGTCACTGGATCAAAGAGCAGAAGGTGTAAGAAGACTAGAAAGGTGGGAGGGGGCTTGGTTATGAAGGGCATTGAATGCCAAACAGAGCATTTCATACTTGATCTCGAAGGCAATAGGGAGCCATGGGAGTTTATCAAATAACTTTTCTGATTTTGTACCCCAGCACCTCGCACAATAGCATGGATATTTAATAAATTCCAACATTCGATTTCTTGATACAAAGGTGAGACCTAAAGCCAAGGGAGAAGTGACTTTCCCCGGTTTTAGTGGTACTTTCATTCCAACGACAAAAGGTCCTTGGCTTACCACCACACCGGTAGGAGCCCGGCTTTTTCCTTCATAGACGTTCATAACATGCTGCCAACTCCTCTCCTTCGGGCTTGGGAGCTTCCTGGCTTTGATCATCCATCGCTTACCATTTTCCAGGTCCAACTCTCTTTGTTTCCTTTTCTCATCATCGGCCTCTTCCTTCAGAAGTCGACTGACAATTTCACATTTTCGAATTTTTTGCTCTTGTTCAAAAAGTCTAAATTAAAAACATTGACACCAAAGGAAAAGTTTATGTAATTCAACGGTACACAGTCAATAAACAAGCATTTATTGAGTACCTACTACATACCAGGCACTGTCCAAGGTACTGACGACACAGGTTACAAAGAATGAAATAATCCCTATTCACAATGAGCTTACATTCTAGCAGGAGAGACGAGTGCATATAAAAGTATATACAGTGAAAAATATTAAGTTAATAAATACAAGTGTTTATAAATGGAAGGTAGTTGAGAGGGCACTAGGCAATGTGGGGGCGGGGATCAAGAAAGATCTGATGGAGAAGATGGTATCGGAGCTGCATCTAAAAGGAAGAGGTTGAGGTGAGGATGGAGTACGTAGCAGGCAATGAGGATGGTTGATGCAAAGGCAGGAGATGAGAGATGGAGTGGTGTTTGTGAGGAACAGAGACAAGGCCAAGATGACTGGATTTTAGAACACAGGACAGAGAGTAGTGTCCTGTAAGGTTAGACATATAAGCTGCGGCAAGACTATAAAGGACTTTGAGAGTTCAGCAGAGACATTTATAGTTTATCCCAGAGATCACAGGAACTCACTGGAGTGAAGGGGTCTCGTGGTCAGATCTGGCCTTAAGGAAAATGACTTTGGCCATAGTATAGAGACTGGACTGGGGTAGGCAGGGACTTGAGGCAGGGAGCCCAATGAGGTAGCTGTTAGATAATCAAGGTAGTAGCTGTGTGAGTGGGGAGAATGAGTCACCTGGGCAAGATGAGAAGATAGAATTGACAAAACTGGGCACGTGTGGGGTGAAGGAAAGAGAGGAGCTTAATGCTTGGTCTTCATGCTTCTTGGCAAGAAAGAGACTAAGGCTGGAGGCAAGGAGCCTGGTTTACAAACCAGACTTTGCATAAGAATTGTAATTTGGCTAGAGCGGTGGGATTCTGCCCATAGAAACAGACAAACAAACAAAAAGATGTAGCCATTTTCCCTTCTTTTACCAGGAGATTCCATAGCTGAAAGAGTTACTCTTCAGGAGGAAGAGGTTATACAAATTTAGGGCATTATTCTGAAATCACACACCATGAACAGAGACGCCACGTTGTGAAAGCAGCACACAGTGACAGTTCTGCCCATGTAAGCATGGAAAAATCCTGTGATTCTCATGCCAGCATGAACTTGGGACCCCCCAGAAGAGAGATGGGGTTGGGAACATCATGAAACTATGCAGGTTGATGTGAAGGCTGGTGTCCAAGAGACACCAGGGCAATTAACAAGACAGATCCCATCCTCCTCTCTTTCCCCCTTGCCCCAGTTATGTTAATACTTGATTGTTCTGATATCTCAACACAGGACAGAAGTGGCCCTGTGATCTTGGAGTATGTGACAGCCAAGTTCCAACTCTCACAGATGCTACCCACCTGGAAAGATTAGGAGTGGAGGCAGCCAGGTGGCATGGTGGATAGAACACCAGCCCTGGAATCTGGATGACCTGAGTTCAGATCTGAACTTACCAGCTGTGTGACCCTGGGTAAGTCATTTAACCCCGATTACCTCCCCCACTCAATAAAAAAAAAAAATATGAGTATATGAGTACTGGCCTCTCTGTCATTCAAGAACCCAGCTAACTTCAGAGAGGTTCATAGCCAGAAAGCTGGCCACCAGGTGGTAAATGGCCTTTGCCCGTAGCAACTCATAAAGACCAAGCCCTAAGACAGAGAAGGGCTGTGGTTTGCCCTGAGGTAGGGAAGGAATGTCCATACTGTTAAAATCATCATGGCTACTGAAAGTAAGATGCAAATCTGAGATTTCTTATTATGGAAGAAAAGATGTCAAATTCCCAAAGCCCGAGCTGAGGGACAGGAGAGGAATTGTCTTCTACTTAGTTCCTGAATGCAGCAGGTAGGGGAGGGACGGACACATCTGTGTACCCCCGAGTGAGGTGGAGGTTGAGCAGGGTAGGAGGGTAGCCCCATCCAGCAATGGCAAGCCATCCTCAACATTAAAAAGCCATATAGAGCCCTGACTCATCAAGCCCAAATTCTGAACCAAAAGCATTGGGACATCATCCTTGGGACCACATCTTGCTTGGCTGGCTCCACTATATTATGTCAGTCATGTTCACTTTGTGTTGGAAGGCTCAGTTTCTGAGTCCACATCCTTACTGTCTCCGGATGTTGAGTTCCATATTTCGCTTTTCGTGTAAAGTCTGCTTGATAGCATCCCCTCCCTGGGCTGCTATGACCTCCTTCTCAGCCTCTTCTTTCTTTTCAATCAAGTGAGCCCTGGCTTTTTCCCAGGCCCTAAGTTTCTGGAGGGTCTCCTAGGAAATAGAGAAACACATTGTCAGCATGTACAATTTTTGACAGAAAGGATATCCTGTGCCTCCTTGTTTGGCACTGAACCTCCTGTTACCTAGACTCATTGGTATGGAACCCCGAGTCCCTTCTGCTCAGAACCTTTACATCTGGGCTCTGAGAGTCTTAAGTTGACCAGAATCCTGGTGTCTTATGTCCCAGACTCTGAATCTGACAGCTGTCTGCCTAGACCTAGTGCAACTGCATAGTCCTCCCCACTTTGGCAGATGGCTCAAGGCTTGGTCTCTTGTTCCCAGGATCTATGTAATATCTGCCTGCTCTTCCTTCCTTTGGCTGAGCTCTCTGAACTTGACCTCTGGGCCACTTGATTAACTGTTTTTCAATAATCTCTAATGTCCTGTTATCAAATATATTCTGGTATTTTCTCATCAAACCTTGTCATTTCCTGTTGCATTCAAATCCAGCCGTGACACACTGAAAAAGTCAACTGTTTGGTCTATACGATTATACGACTATTTTTTTTTTTAGCTGACTGATCAAATTTCCTGGTTATATTAGTGTTATCTGGGCACGACATGATGCCTACAAAGAATGGAGGTGATCTGGATTTCAGGATGTGACCTTGGTGCTTGGCACCCACAGCAAGAACTGAACCTGAATTCAGGGCCATTAGGAACTTTTTCATATTTCCAAAGGATACTGGGATTGCACTATGATGAGCAAATTCCCAGTCTGTTTTTAATCAAAACAGTGAATTTCTAGACACAAGTCTAGAACAAGGAATTTCTAGACACAGTGAAATAATTAAGTTGTATGATTTACTGGACAGAAAGCTTGTCGAGAAGCCAGGAAGACTTGCGTTCAAGTCCCAGCACTGACACAACCTGACTGTGTGACCTTGGGCAAGTCCCTTCGCTTCTCAGACTAACAACCAGAGAGAAGGTACCAATCTATGTTGGTAGAGGGAGTTGCCTCATGTGGGAATTCCCAATGGAATCACGAGTCCTGTCCTATCCCTAATGTCATTTAACTGATTATTTTGACAATTTTTTTTGTGATTCTGACACTATCTTGAGAAACCCTGATATCCTTGGTGAACTCTCTTCCAGGAAAAACCCATGTACTTTACAACTAGGAGAGGGAAGAAGGCATGGTCCGGTCGAGGACATGGTACCCGATTTGTGGTGATGCTGTTTTTCAGGGCTATCACAGCATCCATTCTTCTCTTCATATACTCTTGTGATTTCTTTTCCTCACTGGCTTCTTTCTTGCGAACCCTATTGGAAAGAAGCATTTTGAAGCAACCAGTGCAGCTGCAGAACATTAAGCATCTGAAAGGTCAAAGGTAGGAGGTGAGGAAGGGAAGAGGAGATAATGATAAGTTTCAGCAGGGCCATATTTTTTAAAGGTGGCAAATGGGTGAAACGCTTAGGGAAGATTGAATGACTTCTTTCCTTTCTCACATTCTCCTAGAGCACTTTCTCTGGGTGCCTCTTTGGCCACGGTCACACCTGAGCTTGTATTACATTTACTTATTTGCGTGTTACCTCCCTACCTCCCCATATGACCTAAACTCCCTCAGAGTAAGGATCAGGCCATTTCCCATCTTTGTGTTCACACTGATTAACACGGTGCTTGGCACACATTCAGTATTTAATGAATGTTTGTTATTGTATGTTATCTTATATTGGGAAAAAAAAATATTCACCACTTCGGTAGAGATGAGCAAAGTTTATATAATTACATTCTCTGGCCATGACTAAGAAAGTGGATCCAGGTCCCAGAGAAGAATAATTAATAGCTAACGTTTCTGTAGCACCCTGAGGTTTGCAAAGCACTCTCCAAAGATGACCTCGTGTGGTCACATGGATCATAACAACCCTGAGAGGTAGATGCTGTTATCACCCCCATTTTATAGTTGAGGAAACTGAGGTAGACAGAGGCAAAGTGACTTGCCCAGGGTCATACAGCTAGTGAGTGTCTGACGCTGGATTCGAACTCAGGTCTCCTTGACTCTGGGTTCTATGCACTGAGCCTCCCAGTTGCTTACTGGTGCTCGATAAGACCTGAGCCACTTCCAACACTGACAACAGCATTGCTTCATTTCAACATGGAAGCTCAGGGAACGTCATCTCTGGGTTTTCTGGGCAGGATTATGAACAGAAAGGGCCAAAGGAGGGGAAAAACACAAGGAATACTTTGCCAAGGTGGTTCTTAGGAACTGGACCGCTATCTTATGATTCTTCTTGGCCTCGGAGATCACTTTTTGGCGGTGGAGTTCAGAGCTCTTTTCCCTTTCCATTGCTTTCCTGGTGAAGAAGACCAAGATAAACACATATCACCTGTAAGGTTCAAAAAAGCCAAATATACAAGCATCTTTTCCCTTTTTTTCTTTAAATCACCAGCTTCTAGCATTGTGTCTTGTACACAGTGGTGCATAATTAATGTTCGTTGAATTGAATCTTAGGTACCCTTCCCCAACCCCTCTTAATTCCAGTGCCTTCCCTCTGCTAATTGTTTTCCATTTATCTTGTATATATTTTCTATTTATTCCACCTTGCATATAACTGTATGTATATATTTTGCTTTTTGGTCTTCCCCATTAGATTGTAAGCTCTTTTAGGGCAAGAAGTATCTTTTGCCTCTTTTTGTATCCTCAGTGCTTAACACAATGCCTGGCATATAGAAGGTGTTTAATAAATGCTTATTGATTGATTTGAAGACCAGTTCCTTTCTTGAATTCTGTCTCCTACAAATTTTTAGGGACTAGAGCTGTGATTTATTTCATTGTTATAGGGAACTCCCAAGTGTGGAAATTTCTTTCACCAATGAAGGTTGGTACCTCCTTTATAAGTTTTCATCTGAGAGAGTTGCCCGGGATATTGAGAGGAGGCAGCTGAGCTTCAAGGCAGGCTCTCTCTATCCATTATGCCGAGCTGTCTTTCAGGCATGGTTGTAGGAAGTAAAAATCTCTGAGATGAGTGGGGTATTGATATACTCCCCTGTTTAACAGGCTCTCTATCCTATGGAGATTCATTTTCTACAGAAATGGATCATACAGTGAGGAGAGCTATACACTTAGAAGAAACAACACACATACATGATGTCATTACAAAGTTGGCCTTTCAAATGAGGGTATTCAAAATGTTTTCTGCTCGTGTTATTTAAATAGTAAAATCTGCTTCAAGACAAATTTTGGCAGATTGTTTCTAAACAGTACATCTCCATCCTTCCAGTATTATAAAAACTCATGCAACGGATCCACAAATATAAGGCTCCTTCCAAAAAAATCATTGTCCCAAGTAAAATAGCTGAGGTTTGGGTGGGGGTCGGGGAAAGAAATCAGACTTTGGACATTTCTCCAGCTTTGGTAGACTTGAATGACATGTGAGTAAAAATGAGCTGATTAAGCAGAGGGACCAGAGGAAGCCCCACTCACCCCCAAATACCTAGAATCCATTGTCCCAACCTTGGTTCCTACTTCTCACCTTGCACAATAATGTCCAACACAGGAGAGATAGAAGGGGGCGTAACTGCCTGAAGCTACTTTTCTCTTTCCTGCCCTTAATTCTCTGGGACCCTAGGCAACATTCTTGACTCCCATATTATCTCTCTTCCCTGACAATTCTGGAAGATATCCAGGTTTCTTGCCTCAAGTCTAACAGACATGGGTGTTTCTTTCTAGGGTCTAACTCAAAAAAACAAAAACAAGAACAAAAACAAAAAATGGAGACAGCATTTATACTTCCTACAGTAAAAAGAGAGCGTTTGTGCTTCCTATAGTAAAAATCCTTAGAAAACCATGAAAAGCAGATCAGTGGATAAGTTACAAGAATGCATTCTGTGCCACAAGCGGACCACGGAAGGGAGAAATCACAGCCAGAATCAAAACGTGGCCCCAGTCACAAAGGACACATACAGGCTGATGATGTCTGGGGCCCTTCCTTCCTGACCTGGCCATCTGTTAGCATTTCCCCTACCCAGAAAAATTACTTTGTATTTACTTGTCGATGTATACATTGCTTCCTCTGCAGTGGAATGTAAACTCTCTGAGGGCGGAGACTCTTGATTTTTTTTTTTTTTTGGTCTTTGTATCACCAATGCCTAGCAGAATGCTTGTCACTCATTAACACTTGTGTGAGGAGTGAAATAAAAGAAAGGAGACGACAGGGAACTGGGCCATAATAAAAAAAAGTGTTGCTTTTGTAGGTTGATGCTGGTAGGAAATCTTAGTGCCCCACCACCCCAACTCCCAACCCACTGACCCTGTTGAATTCCAATCTTTGCTCTTTATTACACCCTTTACCTCTTCTGCCAGAGCCCCCACCCCAGGCACCACCGACGCAAAGTGGCTTGAAGGTAGGGAGCCCAGTTCTTCGACTGTTTGGTAGATGGGGAAAGAGAGAACCCTCCATCTTATGTCTAAGGGTGAAGAGAGAGGTAAGGATGGGAGAGGAAAGAGATGGGCTCCTGACACACCCCAGAGTCAGTGTTATATGTTGTATTTAGGGTCTAGAGTAGTAATTAGATCATATTTGGGATCCTAGCTGTAGGGCCAGAAGAGACCTTAGAGGTCCTTGAGCCCAGCCCCCTCATTATACATATGAGGCTTATAGACATTAAGTGACTTGCCCAAAGACACACAGGTTGTAAGTGACAGGGTCAGGATTTGAACCCACGCCTTCTAACTTCCAAGCCCAAACCCTTTCCATTATACCATGCTTCTTTCCCATCCTTCCTATGTAACAAGTGTCAAGCAATCACAGTGGCTTACATTTCTGTAACTCTTGAAGGCCTATAAAGTTTATTCCCCACAATCACTCATGAAGGAGATAGAATATCATCAGAGATTAAGTGACTTCCTATGGTCGAAAAGCTAAGAACCCAGACCTCTCCTGACCCTAGGTTTTTCATTGTACTATTAGGCTGTCTCTCGAATAAAGCATTGTTTCCATGAGGAAAAATAAGTTCTAAGTTACAGATAACTTCCCTGACTTTCTTGACTGACTTCACTGGCTTCTTTCAAGTCCTAACTAAAATCCTACCTTCTACAGGAAGCCTTTCCTAACCCTTAATTCCAGCACCTTCCATTAATTATTTTCTATTTTTCCTGAATACAGTTTGCTTCATATACATTTGTTTGCATGTTCTCTCTCCTATTAGATTGTAAGCTCCTTGAGGGCAGGGACTATCTTTTGCCTCTTTTTGTATCCCCAGTGCTTAACATAGTGCCTGGCATATAATAGGCACTTAATAAATATTAATTGAATGAATGAAAACAACCAGCTTCTCCATGAAGTCATTAAAAATGACCTTATTATTTTCAACTGATTTTTAAAAACTGGAGGAAAAGTTATGGTTTAAAATGTTCTCATAATATATTGCTGTAAAAAAGCAAACAAAAAACAAAAAACAAAAAAAGAAAAAACAAACAAAAAAACCCCACCCAACTGATTAGCTATCTCTCTGGTATTCCATAAGGACAGCAAAACCTGGAGTACAGACAGTATTTCAAATTCAAAGTTGCCACATATTAAGTAAAACACATTTCCACTTGGTTCTGATTCTGTTTATCAGGGTGAGCATTAACATAGGCAAATTGATCATTTTGCTTGTAGGGAGGATCGCTGGCTTAGGCCTTACCTTGTGGGATTTCCTAGCCCTGTGTTTGAAGCAGTGGGGACAGCTTGTCTGGGCCCTTCCTCCCTCTCCACACCCTCACAATGGATGGGAGGTTAGTTCAGCAGCACATAGAAGGGAATGACCCAGACAGTGAAGGGAGGGTCCAGGTGGGGACCTAGTAATGACAGTTCACACTGATAAAGCTCTGTTACAAGTACAAAGTGCTTTCTTCACAAAAATAACATTAAAGTGAGTTGTGTAGATCCTATAATTCCCATTTGACAAATAGGGAAACTGAGGTTGAGAGGTGAAAACACTTGCCTAACATCACATAGCTGAGTCAGGACTCAAACCCAGGGCCCCTGAGGTCAGGGCTCTTTCTACCATACCCCATTCCCTTCTAAGCAGAAGGAGAGAGCCATCATTGGCTGGATGAGACATCCAGAGAGCCATCATCAAGAGCCATCACTTACTGGAGTAGGAGGCTTTTATTGTGGTCTATACGGACAGCCGCCATCTTTGCCTGAATAAGCCTCTCTTCCGCCTGCCCTTGGAGAAGTTGTGCTAATTTTGCTTCTTCTACTTTAAGATTTTCCCGGAGAACGCTGAATTTTCCCTCGTTGATTTCCATGTGCCACATGTTTTCCCTTTAAAATAAAAATTTTTATAAGTATGTGTCATTCCTTTGAGTAAAGGACCTGGCATCAGTTGGCTTGGCTATATCCATTTAAAAATAATAAAAATAATAACAATGAGAATAGACCACAGATTCAGCAATTTAGAGCTGGAAAGTGACGTTGGAGGTGATCTAGTGCAACTCCCCTATATTTTATTGATGAGGAAACTGAGGCCCAGGTAGCAGAATCAGGATTCATACTGAGACTCCAGGCTTCCCTTGGGCTGGGCCAATGATCCAAAGTCCAGCTCCTCCATCACTTTAGAAGAGGGCCTTCAAGAGAGGAGAGGGCAGACAGACCCATCCTCCTTCAGGGGGCTGGAGAGGAGTATCTGCAAACTCAGCCTAGCTGGTCTCTGGGTGACAAGCATACAGCCTGTCACCAGACCTGCTCTTAAAACCTGTCCAGCTCGGTGATATGAGCCAGTGGTCACACACTGTCATCACAGCCTTCGAGGGTCCCTGAGGGGAGGCAACAGGTAGATAGAGCTTTAGTGGAGATGTAATAATGACAGTGAGTATAGTTGCTGCTGAGATGGTTTGGTGCGTTAAAGGTTTCAAAGAGATTTGCATAAAATTAAGGATCTGGCAAATGAAATCAGCTCAAAACCTTGAGAGTTTAACTCTTTTGGGTTGGGTCTACAGACTCCTTCAGCCCCAGAAAAGAGTAGGGTTCCTTGACTATGTCTAAAAGAGGGGTGTGTGTGTGTGTGTGTGTGTGTGTACAGGTGAATGACAGGTAATAAATCCCAAATAAACTAGAAAAATGCTCACCCCCCCCCCAGTAAATGCAATAATGACCATATGAGGGAAATTGAAAGAATCTACTACAATTCTTACAGAACAAATTATTGAAGACCAGCCCAATGTCCCCTTGCTTCTAGGGCTCCAGCCCCCAGTGCCCTCAATCCAACCACTGTGGCCCCACTACCCCACACCCTGCTTTTTAGCTATAATTTAAAGCAATGAATTTTGGAATAAACCTTTGGCAGTGGCAGGAAGGGGATGCTCTCAGGGTACATGGAAACCCGATATCCTGGAGGTTTGATAGGAATGAAAGGGGGAAGTGGTGGAGGAGTATGGAACCCAAGGGGAGAAGATCGTGGAGGGAAGGGTCCAAAAATGCAGTGCGGGCTACAACTATTTAATAGTATAGAAGAAGGAATAGTCAGTCAGAAGAAGGAATAAGGGAAAAGTAGAGAAGAGACCCAGTTGTAAAGGCTTCATGGAGCCTCCCTTTGGCAGTGTCTTTTTTTTCTTCTGCTTTTTGGTGAGGCAATCGGGGTTAAGTGCCTTGCCCAGGGTCACACAGCTAGTAAGTGTCAAGTGTCTGAGCCCCAATTTGAACTCAGGTCCTCCTGATTTCAGGGCTGGAGCTCTATCCACTGCACCACCTCACTGCCTCCCTTCAGAAGTGTCTTGAGGGATCCTCTGCTGACTCTTTCATGGCCAAGCCCCTAGGCAAGCAGGGGGCATACATCCATTGAGTGCCTAGTTATTCATTTTCCCAGAGTCTATGAAGCACATGAAATGAAATGATTCTTATGGGAAGAGCTTTAGATACCTGGGCTTGTCTGGAATACCACTGCACTAATTATTTTTTGCATTTGTGTCCCAGAGTTTAGGATAGTACTTGCCCTGTAACTAGTTCTAAACGAATGTTCTTTCATTCATTCATTCACTTGTTCATTCATTCATTCATTCATTCATTTCTTTGTTCATTCATTCATCCATCCATCTTGCAGCTTTTCCATAGAGTAAAGTATTCATCCTAGCTTGACTAACTCAGACTAGAGGTTTACAGACACCTTCCTGGCATTGCCAACAGTACCAGGCTCTGCAAGTAGCACAGTGGCTACAACTCTAATCCAAAGGGAAGTCTGGATGAACAGTTTGGAGAGAGATTTTTTTTTTCTTTCTGCTGTAACAGCATGTCCAAATAGCTATCATCATTTATATACTCTGGATGTATAAACATACATGATTATATATGTGTGTGTATGTGTATTGTTTGTCCTTTGTTTCTGAAGAGGACCAATGACATCATAGGTGAAGTCTTGACTTGTGGGTGAACTGGATTTTTTTTGGGGGGGTGAGGCAATCAGGGTTAAGTGACTTGTCTAGGGTCATGCAGCTAGTAAGTGTCAAGTATCTGAGGTTGGATTTGAACTCAGGTCCTCCTGACTCCAGGGCCGGTGCTCTATCCACTGCACCACACAGCTGTCCCTCATTGGATTTAAGTGAGGCAGAGTTATACAAGGTTGTCAACCTCACTCTCTCTTCCAGAGTCATTGAAGTGCAGAGGCAGGACACAAGTCAAGATGAATGGCGATGGCCTGGGACGCACTGGACATCGGCGTCTTCGATGTCTGACCAAACTCTAAGTCCTCCATGGCACCTATTTCAGCCGCCTTCTTGGCCATTGGAATCTGGTCAAACCCCTGGGGGAAGTCTTCACATACTTGGGGCACACCCCCCCAACTCACCAAAGGGATTGACGCCTGTTGGTGACCCTCAAACTGGTTTAGCCCGCCTGCCAAGACAGTTTTACCGGGGTGTGGCTGCTGTGCATGCTACAGCTTCTTGAAGCTGTCCGTGAGAGTTGGGTGACAAGTGGTCACCAAAGGTGGGTGAGCAGCCCTGAAAAGGACTTGGCATGCCAGAGGGGTTAGTCCTCCCTGAGCACCCCATACACCCCATACATGTGTGCATAGATGTATATGACATGATCTGGACTCATGATTTCACTGGCACATTTCCTCCTATATGAGGAAATCCCCTCCATCAATGCAGATTGCCACCCGTTCTGCATTGACAGTCTTGGGGAGGGTAGGTGACCAGGGGCCAGGGTCATACAGCCAGTACGTATCAGAGACAGGCTGTGAACAGCAGTCTCTCTACCACCTCTCACATACACACATTCACAAACACATCTAGAGAACAGCCCCTCTTGAACTGGTCCTAATCTATTATATTATATCTTAATTATATTTTATTATTTTAACTATTATATTATATTGTTTATTATTATATATTTCACATACACACATTCACAAACACATCTAGAGAACACCCCCTCTTAAATTGGTCCTAGTCTATTAAATTATATATTATATGTTAATATTTTAGTTATTATATTATATTGTTTATTATTATATATTATATGTTATTATATATTTCACATACACACATTCACAAACACATCTAGAGAACACTCTGTCTTGAATTGGTCCTACTCGATTATATTATATATTATATTATTTTAATTATTACATTATATTATTTATTATTATATATTACATGTTATATATTTCACATACACACACAAACACATCTGGAGAACATCTCCTCTTCAATTGGTCCTAGCCTATTGTGCTATATATTATATTTTATTATTTCAATTATTATATTATATTTTATTATTTTATTTATTATATATTTCACATATTTCACATACACACATTGACAAACACATCTGGAGAACACCCCTCTTGAACTGGTGCTAGTCTATAGTATTATATATTCTATATCTAGTCTAGTATGTTCATAAATCAGTTCTTTGGAATGTGAAACTCACTTTCCTATTGGAGTAATGTAACGGATGATGATCAGGTTCCCTGGTTAGTCCTGTTTAACCAATAATGTAACTGAACTATGTTATTACAACGTGTTAACTTGCATTATGGGCGTGGCAATAAGGGCCAGGGGGCAGCTAGGTTGGTACAGTGGATAGTGCTGGTCTTGATGTCAGGAGGCTCAGCTTTCTGAGTTCAAATCAGGCCCCAGACATTTAATCATTGTGTGACCCTGGGCAAGTCACTTCACCCTGTTTGCCTCAGTTTCCTCATCTGTAAAATGAGCCGGAGAGGGAAATGGTAACCCACTCCGGTAAAAGAAAACCCCAAATGGGGTCAGATACGACTGAAATGACTGAATGACAACAACGGAGGTCAGGGACTGAGGAATTGTGTGTGTGTGTGTGTGTGTGTGTGTGTGTGTGTGTGTGTGTCTGGGGGGTCACACTGGAGATGGGGCAGGAAACTTCTCTAGGAAAACTGTAGAAATAAACTTAGCGCGTCTTTGCCTCTTCCCGTCCTCCTTTCTATAGCTATGTTTTCTTTTCAAAGGCTCCTAACTCAAGCTGGGAGGGGCCCTAGAGGTCATGTAACCTAACTCTCTCATTTGATGGAGAAGGAAACTGAGGACCAGAGAACAGAAGCAACGTGCCCAAGGTGGCAGGGGTGGAATTTGAACCATGCTCTCTGGAATCCAGATCCAACCCTCTTCTTACCGTTTCATTCTGTAGTCCCCTAACACTCACTACCCTCCTCCCTCCTGCTTTTCAGTTGGTTTTCAGTCATTTCCTACTCTTCATGACCCCATTTGGGGTTTTCTTGGCAAAGATCTTGGAATGATTTGCCATTTCCTTCTCCAGCCCATTTTACAGAGGAAGAAACTGAGGCAAACAGGGTGAAGTGACTTGCCCAGGGTCACACAGCTAGTGTCTGAGACCACATTTGAACCCAGAAAATGCATCACGCTGACCCTAGGCCCAGCACTCTGTGCACTGTGGTGCCGTCTAGCTGTTTATCCCTCCTGCTCTGCCTTCCTCAAGTCTGCCCTGTATTCTAAACGTTATTCTGAAAGATGGGCCACAAATGACTTTTGAAGACTCCTTCTATTAGCCTGCTAGGCAGTTTGGTTTGGGATAAAATAGACTTCCTGTGAGTACCCAGTATCAGCAGAGGCCTTAAATAGCATTTTGTCTCTCACAAAGCGCTCTTGGCACCATTTTTACAATATTGGATTTTTAGTCTGAGCTATCATTTTGGGGGTAGGGAGGGAAGTCTGGAGGTTCTGTAAGCATCTCATCTGTCCTCCTGTCTTCTTTCCTCCATTTGTCCCCACTGCTCCCCTCCCCCAGGCCCAATAACTACTTCTTACTAAAACATCATTAACCACACGAGGCTGGGCCACAAAGTATTATGATTTTATATCTTTTCCCGAAGTTCTCTTAAAGCAATGAACTAGAAACATTCCTTCTGGGAATGTGCTAACCATTTTACAGAACCGTGCATAGAAGAGCACAAATCAGTAAGAAAGGAAAATCAGTTTGGATACTTTGGAGTAAGTATAAGAAAAATGGGCAACCTGAAAAACTCTGTGGGCCCAGCTATAAAGCAGCCCTGTTAACCTTTCCGTTAGCTCTGAGTGTTCAGTTAGCTTTCTGCTGTTACTAGCTTTGTTGTTATTGTTCAGTCATTTCAGTTGCGTCCGGCTCTTTGTGACCCCATCTAGGGTTTTCTTGGCAGAGATGCTGCAGTGGTTTACCATTTCCTTCTCTAATGAGTCCCCATTTTACAGATGAGGAAACTGAGGCAAACAGCATGAAGCGACTTGCCCCAGGATCACTCAACGAGTAAGTGTCTGAGGCTGGATTTGAACTCAAGAAGATGAGTCTTCCAGACTCCAGGCCCAGCACTCTATGCACTATGGCGCCACCTAGCTGCCCTGTTAGCCAGTTAGCTAGTAGAGCACTCTATAGATAGTATCTCATTTGGTTCTCACAACAGTCCTGTGAAACCAGTGCTATTATTAGCTCCATTTTACGGATGAGGAAACTGAGGCTCAGAGAGATTAAGGGACTTGCTCAGAGTCTGGAGCAGGATTTGAACTTGGGTCTTCCTGACTCGTAGTCCACTGCTTCCATTTACAAACTCTTTTTTTTCTCCTTCCAATGAATTAATAAGAGGCTTTAGCCCTTAGTGTATGCAGCCCTGCTGATTAAGAGAAGGCTGCAGTGAACCCCAAGCCCTTCAGTCCCATTCCATTTCTGAACTTACTCTTTTTCTTTTAGAATCGAAGAAATTTTCACCTCCAGGTCTTTCTCATGCTCCAGTTCAGCGCACAGACGTCGGAGCATTGCTTGTAGACGAAACACAGCTGCACTGCATGGGTAAATCAGAGGAAGGGAGAAGATGTTGGGAACGCTGAATGGGAAAACCTCACAAGCTAAATGAAGAAATAATCCCCGAGCCTTCAGGCTGGGATGCACATTGGAAACGTTTCCCAATTTATGTTAACGTAATGGCTTTCAATGAGATCGCCCAGATTCCAGGTCCCAGCAAAGATGCTAGCTGTACTACACCATCACTTACACAAAGTCATGGGACATCAGGAATAGATGGGGTCTTGGTAATCATCTAATTCACCCCCTCGTTTTACAGAAGTGAAATTGCAGGGCCAGAGGGGGAAGTGACTTTCTTCCGATTGAATGGGATTGTGCCACTCTTTTCTCATCAACAAAATAAGTGACTAAATCAGGACTGGAAAACAGACCTCTTGAGCCCTGGTTTGGGGCTCTTTCCATGACCCCAAGCTGCCTTGCTAAATGAAAATTTCCCATAGAGGTGCACTAAGTGTTCTTTCTGCGGATCAATGACCATAGGAAGGATGATATACATTCCCGTTAGACTCCTGGGAGCGGCCATGCTCTAGCTATTCTCAGGGTTCAGCAGTCTCATGGTAACTCCAAGGTCCCCCCAAAAGAACACGCTGGGGTTTTTTTTTTGTCCTAACAAAAATGACTAGGTTATCGGCTGCTGACCTATGACTTATACAATTTGATGGATAAACACGTGTTTTATTTCTTCCGATGCTATTGAGCATCTCCCGAAGAAAGAACAACGAGGTTGCTGCTCCATGGGCCACTGATTCCTTCATGGGGAGTCAGGTAGAGGGAGCATCTCTACGCACCTGTTGTGGGCCTCTTTCTCCATCTGTATTTCAGTCTCCACTTGGACTTTCTGCTTCTGGATCGATTCTATTCGCTGCAAAGATGCATCTAAATCCTGCCTGGAATGGAAGTCAAGGGTTTAGCCTGCTGTTTGAGCTTCCTCTTTTTGGGGGGGAGAGGAGGAAGGGAAGGGAGGATGGCATTTCTACTTGCACACAGGGAAAGGAGGGGCAGGGCAGAAATGGTGGTGGATGGGGCTGAAACTGGGTGTTTTGATTTTGGGTTTGTTTGGGGTTTTTTTTTTTTTTTGGCTCAGACCTGTGATTTTACTGGTGTCAGGAGCTCCCAAAAAGGAATCTCCCTCTACCACTGTAGCTTAGAAACTTTTCTGCTGTTGACATTCTTAGAGATTTAACTGGAGCACAGAGATGTTAATTGATTTGCCCAAGGTCACACAGCCAGTAAGGTGTCAGAGGCAGATTTGAACCCAGGTCTTTCTTGATGCCAAGACCAGCTCTCTATCCACCCTGGAAAGCCAGGGGTACTCAGACAAATCAAACTATAGGTCACTCCTGCCCTATCATCTCTTGTCCTCTCTAATGGCTCAAAACCTCTTTCTCCACTCACACACCCAGGGGCTATATTGTTGACTATGCTGTCTGGTTCACAGAGGAGCACTCCCCAGAAGCTCCACCTGACATGATCCAGGTGGCACCAGAAAACACTCCTGGGGTCTTGGAGACACTAAAACTTCTCTGAAATGGACATGTTATTCAATGTGCTAAGAATCATCCCAGCTTCACTTACTCCTCTGTGTGTTTCACCACACAGCATCATACATGGAATTAGGACTGTCTTTGTGGACACCACCACCACACTGGACCTGACCCTCAAAGCCGTTGTCCATGGGAGTATCATTACTGCAGAAGCATGCTCTGATAAGTGCCTCTGCAGGTGTGGCAGCCCCTGAGCCCTCAGCAGCCACAGCTACCGTAGACATGGAAAAGAGATCTCATGCCATCAAACACCTGGGTACTAGCAAGTGATCCAACGTCAGGAAAGGATAGGGTCTTATCGATGGAAATGACACTGATAGAGATGTATCGCCTTCTGCTTTACCCTTTAGACCTTTCTGTCTGCCCTGCAGCAACACCCTTTTATTATTGTCGTGTCCCCCTAGAATTCGAGTGCCTTGAGAACGTAGACTGACTTGCTTTCATATTTCTATCTCCAGCACTAAGCACAGTGGGGAAGACATAGTAGGTGCTAGATAAATACTCCTTCCTTTCTCCCTCCTTCCTTTCTTCCTTCATCAGATAGCTATCTGTAGCACTTAGCACAGTGGTAAGTGCTAGATAAATGCTCCTTCCTTCCCTCCTTCCCTTCCTTCCTTCCTTCCTGCTTACTTCCTTTCCTTTCTTCTTCCTTCCCTCTCTCTTTCCTTTCTTCCTTCCTTCCCTTCATCATATGGCTGTCCTAAGCACTTAACACAGTAAGCACATAATAAGTGCTAAATAAATGCTCCTTCCTTCCTTCCTTCCTTCCTTCTTTCCTTCCCTCCCTTCATCTCTGGGTACTATGGACAAGGAGGATTCTGGATCACACAGTTACAGGCGGAGAGAGAAAAGCTCTAAACAAAAGCGCATGGCCCAGAAGCTCTCTTTTATGTGTCTTCTTGCCCCAACACATGTAGAGCGGTGTACCTAGGAAAGGCAGGCTTTGGGGACTGCCAAACGAGAAAGAACTTCTCAGCTGCTGGTTTAGAAAAAAAATTTTAACATCTTTGAGGTTTGTATGCTAGTATTACCTTCAAGTCATTTGCTCCGTGATTCCCAGGGAAATATCAGAGAAGCCACCCCACCAACACAGCCCATGGAAAGGCTGGTCTCCTCAGAGTACCCCTAATCGCTGCTATGCTGAGGATTTTTTTGTCTCCAGGCACGTATCCCTGGCAACAATCAGCATTCAGCATCCCTTTATACTATTCTTAATGGACTAATTATGCCCTCTGAGTCTGACAAGGAGGGGAAGATTTAAACAAACTTAGCTTTAGGCTGTTGGGAAGAGGGTTGGAGAATATGGCTTACCTTCCTTCCTCCCTATTTTAGAGGCCTCCTGATAAACAGGGATTTCTTCCAGTTTGAAGAATGGGTGAAAAAAAAACCATATGGTGGTGAGGTGGGGGAATGTGAGGGGGTAAGTAAGAAGGAACTATTTTATGGAGCCTATACTCATCACAAAAAACAAGATCTCTGAGAGAGAGAGAGAGAGAGAGAGAGAGAGAGAGAGAGAGAGAGCAGATCCACAGTTCTAGAATTCTCATTATCATCCCCCCAAAGTCTTCCCCTACTTCTCAAAGCAATGTGTCACAACAGGAGCTCATCATTTCCTGTGGGCTCATAGCTGAGCCCCTGTTGGAGAGAACCTCAGCAGTACCGATTGCAATATTCCCTCATCCCTACACGTTGGTTGTCTCCACTGGGACGCTGCTGAGCACTGGCAGGTGGGGGTGAGCCCTCTGAAGTCCTCTGGGTGCTCAGGGCAGACTTTCTCAGACCAAACCTCCAGTCCCTTCCTGAAGTTTTCTTCACTAAAAGACACTCACTTAGTTTTCAAAAGGAAAAATTTCTTTTCCTCATGTATTCTATCCAGGTTGTTTATGTTTCTTCGCAGATGTAAGGTGCGAACTCTGTCTTTGTAAGTGACTTTCTTCTTCCTGTTGGTTGGGACATTCTTTTTCTTATATTTCCTTGAAATGAAAGAAAAATAGCTTCAGTTATGGATGATAGGTTGGGCATGGTTAGCAATGCTGGTGATTCACATGATTAAGAAGGAAATCAAATTATGAATCTGTTATTTGCTGCCTGTGGACCTGAGGGCAAATGGTCCCTGCTCTTGGCTTCTGTTTTTTCATCCATAAAATGAAGAGATGGCACATTTGAAGGTATCTTCCACCTCTAAATACTATGAGCCACTGAATTTCATGGTCAGGGATGTTCTTTGGCTAAATCCCCGTGGATTAATTGATCAGCAGGTACTTGTGAGGCAGGGGAAGGGCAGCCTTTTTCAAACATCCCCCACCCTGCTGCCTACGACCCTCTTCCACCCTACCACATTCCCACTTCTTCAATTCTAGGAAAAGATCACACTGGAGAAGAATCTATGACATCAGCTTTGATCAATAGAAGAAATCATGAGTAATGTCCCTTCATCCCACAATTCATTTGTCAATTATAATATCAAATTTTTAAAAATTAACTTAGCTTCAGAGATAATAGTCAAATATATTAGTTGTGGAAGAGAAATCAGGAAATGTGAGTTTTAATCTTATGTCCTCCACAAATCTTGGCCGAATCAAATCTAAATTTCAGTTTCTTCCTCTATAAAATGAGTATAATAAAGTGTGGGGCAGCTCAGTGGCACCATAGTGCATAGAGCACTGGCCTGGAATCAGAAAAACTCATCTTCGTGAGTTCAAATCTGGCCTCAGATACTTTGTAGCTGTGTCACTCAACCCTGTTTGCCTCAGTTTCCTCATCTGTAAAAATGAGTTGGAAAAAGGAAATGACAAACTGTTCCAGTATCTCTGCCAAGAAAATCCCAAATAGGCTCCCAGAGAGTCGGACAATGACTGAAAAAATGACTGAACGACGAGAACAACATATTAAAGTCTTCTTTCAGCTATCTCCCAAAGTCATTGTGAGATTCAAATAAGATGATATTAATACTATACAAGCTCAAATGGTCTTATTTTTATTAGCCCCAAATAAGTATATTTCCTTTACCAAAAGAGCAGTGCTCTTGGTTGATGACTCTAAAATGAATAATTGCAATCATAAAGATATTTTTACAGATAGTATGCAAGAGGTTCACCTAGTCCTTTACACACACTATCTCATTTCACCACCCTCTGTGGAAGGTGCTCCAGGTATGATTGTTCCTATTTTATAGATAAGATATATATGATAGATATAGACATTTTATAGATAACATATAGAGCAGCTACAAGATTTATGCCCATGGTCACACAACTACTGGGGGAAGGATTTGAACCCAGGTCTTTCTGGTTTAAAATCTAACATTCTTCTACTGTTAGCCCTCCCCCCAAAACTCAACCTCACAATGGGCACACAATGTCTAGGTCAATGTTACTAGATAATGTCATATTCCTTGAGTTTCAGAATAGCATAAACCAAATCACTCCCTCTTGAAAAAAAAAAAAAGGAAGATGCATTCAGTAGTGTGATGCTAAATATTTCACAACCAGCTTTAAGTTTAAACTGAGTTAGTGACATTTGCTCCATCATTTTCTCAAGTCTAGACAATCAACAAAACAATAAAGCCAGCTCTGATCTGTAGCGAGCGCTGATTCCCAAGGTATAAATATTTATTGTTGATGTTTACTTGTGTCTGAACCCCCGTGACCCCATTTGGGGTTTTCCTGCCAAAGATACTGGGGGGGGCTGCCATTTTCTTCTCCAGCTCATTTTACATAAGAGGAAACTGAGGAACACAGGGTGAAATGACTTGCCCAGGGTCACAAAACTAGGAAGTATCTGAGGCCAAATTTGAACTCAGGTTTTCCTAACTTCAGGACCTGTGCTCTATTAAATGTGCCACCTAGTGGCCCAAGGTATACATGCTCCCACTGAAAATTTAACAACTGGCTCCAGCATACCTCTAGTACCTTGTAACAACAACAATAAGAACAGTCATTAAAAGATGGGTAGTAGTATATATCAGGTCAATTACCATCCAAAGTCAAAGGAAGCCTTCTTGTCAGTCTTCTTGGAAATGATATCACTTTCCTTCTCACCCGGTAACTCACCAAATCCATCTGTTGTTAGAAGTGAAAGTATAGGAAACATTAAAATGTGAAACTCTAGTATCTAAATTTATTTAGCAGAGATCTATTAAGTGCCTCCTATGTGCAGGGCTCTGTGCTAGAAGATGGGACCCAAATATACGCACACATATAATACCTGCCTTCAAGGAGCTTACTATTGTGGGGAGAGGATGTGTCCACAAATAATTTTAAAACAAGTTAGGACATGATTAAGAACATAGGAGAGGCCAAAGAGATTGAAAAGAGGGATTGAAAGAAGGAGGGATCATTTCAGATTGGGTAGAAAAGGGGAAGCTTCATGATGGAGGTGCCAGATGAATGAATCCATCTCAGGAAGGGAATGCTATCAATAGGTGGAGAAGAGAGGAGAGTTGGTTCCTGGAATGGGGGAAAGGAGCATGGCCAACATGGCGTTTTGGAAGATAGGAGAGGACTAACAGGTCAAAATGCAGAAAACCCAAAGAAATGACGTTGTAAAAGCTTCATTTCTGTATAGAATAAAAATTCCTTGTTACTAGGCACAAATGAGTGCCATTTTCCTCTTGGGAATGGAAACAGACAAATACTCTCTACCGATGTTAAACAGCTGCCGCAGACTAATCAAATACAAGCACTAAGAATAAGTAGTTTATATTAGACAGGTCTACCAGTCCACTGATAATTTGGGCCGATAGCACAAGAAAACCTTTTCCACTGCTGGCATTTATGAATAAGTATTATTTATCCACACAACTTGCAACATAAAAATATATTGGGGATATTTTCACTAAATACTTCTGAGGAGAGGCAGTGTGGTCTCTCCATGGATCGAAGGCTGGCCTTGGAGTCAGACAGACCTGTGTTCAAATCCTTCCTCTCATGTGTACAGGTAGTGCACTAGGCAACTCTCAAGACCAGGAGGGGCAGAGCTACACTGATAAGACTTCCCTTCTTTAACTACCTTTTACCACCATGACAGCGGGTAGGTAGTGCCACAATGCTTGGAGTGTCAAGCCAGGAAGACTCAGCTTGAGTTCCAATCCAGCCTCACACACTTCCTAGCTGGGTGACCCTGGGCAAGTCACTTAACCTTTTCAGCCTCAGTTTCCTCATCTGTGAAATGAGCGGCAGGAGGGAATGGCAAACCACTCCAGTATCCTTGCCAAGAGAACCCCAAATAAGGTCATGAAGAGTTGGGTATGATTGAAACGACTGAACAGCAATAACCAGCATGATAGAAGATGGAAACAAATACAATTTCTGGGCATTTTCTTCGACTGTTCCCCTTGCCTGGAATGCTCTTTATCTTCTGCTCCCCCTACTGACCCTCCCTGGCTTCCGTTAAGTCCCAACTAAAATCCCATCTTTTACTGGAAGCCTTCCCCAACCTCTCTTAATTCCAGTGCCTTTCCTCCACTAATTATTGCTTCTTTATCCTGTATATTGCTTGCTTTCTATATATTTGTTTGCATATTGTCTCCCCCACTAGATTGTGAGCTCCCTGAGGGCAGAGACTATCTTTTGATTCTCTATGTATCCCTAAGCTTGGCACAGTGCCTGGCACACAGCCGTGTCATATTCAGTCATTTCAGTCCTGCCTGACTCTTTGTGACCCCCTTTGGGGTTTTCTTAGCAAAGATACTGGAGTGGGTCGCTATTTCCTTTTTCAGCTCATTTTACGGATAAGGAACTGGGGCCAACAGGGTTGAGGGACTTGCCCAGGAAGTGTATGAGGCTAAGATGAGTCTTCCTGATTCCAGGCCCAGAGCTCCACCCACTGGAGATGCATAATAAATGTTTGTTGATTGATTGATTACTAGGCCCTCCCTCCAATCAATTCATCAGGTCATAGAGTTAGAGCTCAGAGGGACTTTAGAAGTCTTCTGGTCAGACCCCATTAAAGAAACAGAGGCACAGAGAGGTTGTGATTTGTTTGGAGATCACACAGCTAGAGAGTTATGTGAGGTGGGATTTGAACCTAGGTCTTTCTGACTCCAAGTCCAGTATTCTATCCATTGTAACACACTGCCTCTCTGATTCCTCTTTCTATGGCTCATCATGGTATAGAGATGAGCCCAAGTATCCTGAAAGCTATACCAATGGAATGCTGGTTCTAGATCTAGTATCTAGATCTAGATCTAGATAAGATTGTCTGCCTAGCATCTAAGGTCCAGTCTAGCTAAATCACTACCAGGGAAGTCAAAGGGGAGGAGTTTTCTAGCCACAGTAATTCTCAAACACCGTCCAGTAGATTGTAAAGTGGTTATGACCTATCCTAGTAAGAAAGGGGTGCCCATGTCAGCATTACATATATTTAAAACATTGAAATGTTAATGAGGCATTATAACCTAGCAAGGAAAAAACACACATTGCATTGGAGGCCTTAGGTCCAAATCCTAGCTTTGCTACTTACTAATCCTGTGACCTTGGGCAAGTCACTTCCCCTGGGGCCCAGTTTCCTCTTTTGCCAAATGGTGGGGTTGGCCCTAAGGTCCCCTCCAGCTGTAATATTCTATGGCTCTCATCTGTGAGTGTGGGATGCCCAAAGAAGAGTTCTGTGGGTGCAGATGCAGCATCCTTCTATGTCTATAAACAGGATGGGGGTGGGGCAGATAGACAGATAGCCCCAGGGTTAAAATAGGCTCTGGGCTCACCATTCCTGGCTATTCATTCATGCAACAAAGACTGACTGAGTCCCTACTATGGGCAGTGATGGTTAGAGGGAGAAATAACCAGAAGTTAGGGTTAGAATAGCCCACACCCAACTCCACCAACATATATTCTCAAAAAAGCCAAGTCGATAGCCACTCTGATCAATACAAAGACAGTTTGGAAGGACTCATCATGGAAAATGCCATTCACCTCCAGAGAAAGAGCTGATGAACTCTGAGTGCAGATTGAAGTATAATTTTCTCACTTTATTCTTCATGCTTTTATATTGGTGATATGACCAATATGGAAAAATGTTTTGCATGATATCACCTGCATAATTGATATCATACTGCTTGCCTTGTCAGTGGGTGGGAGAGGGGCTGGAGGGAGAGAGAGGATTTGAAACTCAGAATTTTTTTAAGGTAAAAAATAAATTAATAATACATTTTTAAAAGAAAACCAAGTTGAAATGTTGACTTCAAGCTGTTAGTGAAGTCTGCCACCCATCTCTTGGAAGAGACAACTGGTGGTCTGCGGGCATGTAATGAATAACTGTGTGACTCTGAGAAACTTACTTTATTTTTTTTTATTTTTTATTTTTTTAGGCAATCGGGGTTAAGTGATTTGCCCAGGGTCGCACAGCTAGTAAGTGTCAAGCGTTTGGCCTGAGGCCGGATTTGAACTCAGGTCCTCCTGACTTCAGGGCTGGTGCTCTATCCACTGCATCATCTAGCTGCCCTGAGAAACTTACTTTAAAAAAGAAAAAAACTTTCTGTGCCTCAGTTTACTCATTTATAAAATGAGTGAATTTTACTCAATGGTGTCTAAGGTCCCTTTCAGTATTACAGATCTGGCTGGCCAATGGGTTGATTTGTTTTGCTTGACTTTGTCATATGAGAAAGTTCTATGGGGATGGGCAGAATGGAAGGAGAGGAGAAGAGGATCAATGGGAAATGACAATGATTTAAAAAGAAGAATATGAAACAATAAGGCCTTAAAAAATAGGACTACAGAGCCATAATTAGATGGCATCTGAGGTCCCTTCCAATTCCCAATCTACAAGCCTATAAATTACCTACATGTTTGAGGACCAAACTCTTACCTTAATGGGAATTATTCAGGAAATTCTGTCTGTCCTTAGATAGCCTGACCTAATTCTTGTTTATGATGATTTTTAGAAACCAAATGGATCAACCAAAGCATGTTATAAAAATGGGAGACCAGGTAGAGAAAGGGAAATCCCCTCCCCACTGTCACATTACCCATGGCTACCAACATCCAAGTCCAAGGGTGAATTCTCAAAGAGCTTTGAGTGACAAGCGGTGTAGATCATGTAATTCAATTTGATAAATACCTTGTATATGAATTAAAATTATCATCCTGATTGGCAAGTAGGTAGCACAATAGAGAAGAGTGCTGGACTAGGAGCATCAGTTTTCTCATCTGTGAAATAGGGATAATACTACCTACAGTATCAGTCTCACAGGGTTACTATGTAGCTCAATTCAGGCACCACTTCCTAAGAGAAGCTTTTACTAATTTTTACAGGGGGCCACTAGGTGGCACAGTGGGTAGGGGGCTGAACTTTGAGTCAGGAAGACCCAAGTGTGACCCTGGGCAAATTACTTAACCTCTTTGTGCCTCAGTTTCCTCATTGCAAAATGAAGGGGTTAGACTCAATGGCATCTAAGATCCCTATCACCCTATAATTTACTATGGAAAACTGGAAAGAGATAGAAATAGGGGCATAGGGTGCAAGTATTATTGGCTATATCTTCTCCAACAGAATAAGTTACACACTTATCGATATGCAGCTTTCGTTTCAATTTATAATTAGTAAATCATTTCAGACTCCACCTCTCTTGAATTCTTCCAGATTTGAAATGATTTCTGTTAAATCATCTTTGTCCTGAAAACGGAAATCAGCCATCTGTTCCTCTGGGAATAATCCAGTACCTTCTGTGTTGGTAAGTCAGAAATAAACTAGGAAAAGAAAAAATGAATATTTAGTACATCTTCCTCTTGCCATATTTTCAGAACTAATCAAATGGATTAAGAAGACCACATGCATAGGAAGAAGACAGCCACAGTTGGGCAATCATCATACACATTATAGGTCGGGATTTTTAATGATGCCTTGGAAGGGAAGAACCCTTTTTATTCCATCAAGAAAATGATTGGAACTGATTCACCTGCTGTCCTGGAATTGGCAGTGGGTTAGCATGATTTTTACAAACTGTTAGGATATGTTGAGAAATTAGAAGACAGTTTCCAATCAAAGACTCAATGGGTAAACAGACCTTTAGAAAGAGACCTTACACATCTGTTTCATTTAAAACAATGATGTCAAAACACATTGTAAGAGAAGCTCATTTTAATAAAAGAAAACAGCGTTTAAAATTCATCAGACTAAAAAAGTTCCATTAATTTATCATTTGGTATTAAAGAAAAACCTACTGAGTAATGAGCTTCATAATAACCATTTATATTCAAAGCTTACAAATCATGGTGGGGCAGGGGAGGTTGATAGTGGGGCAGAGTATGGGGCAGAAGAGGGCTGGTTCTTAATGCTATCCTCTAAGCCATAAAGGAAAGATGTCCAATTCATCTTTGAGAGAGCACTGAATTCCTCCAGCGTTTCAACCAAATCGAGTTTCTCTTCTCATTCTGTAATGGGTAATGTCTTGAATATTAATCTCCCAAGTTTGGGTATTTTCCCAAGACTTTTAATGGTCAATCTACTTGGTCCTGGGTTATTTAGTATACAGGCTAGGCATAAATCAGGGCAATCTCATAGAATCTTGAAACGCAAGAACCAAAGTGAACACGATGACAAATAGCTTGAGAAAATGGACTCTAATGTAGCAAGTGAAGGAGAAAGAGCCAAGATCTATTCTTTACATTAAAATCCCACATAAAACTTCATAATATATTTTCTACCTAATTTCATAGGGTTGTTGTGAGGGAAAGCCCTTTGTAAACCCTGAAACATTCTATAAATGAGTTATAACTATTATGGCTTGTGCTTACTTTTTATTCAATACACCTATTTCCCTTTGCTTGCCATTCATTTTGACAGCTACCTTAGTCTAGTATTAACAGAGCTTCCACTATATCATTTCCCAATCAATTTCCCAAGACTTCCATTACGACTGCTGCATTGTTCTTTCTAGCTCTGATGCTTTTTTTTGTGAATATCATAAATCAACCATAGTAAGGTAATAAACTTGCTAGTGATTTGAGATGCACCTTAAAAACTGTCCCCAATATAAAATTGTCCCCCACACACATTTCATCTTAAGATGGCTAAATTAAACTATTTAGCTCACTTTTTTGTTGCCCTTGAAAAAAATCCCTTCTTAAAATAGTAATAACAATGACAATAATTGGCATTTGTATAAAATTTTAAATTTTGCAAAGTGCTTTAAAAGTCTTATAAAAACCCGTGAGATGAATATTGTAGTTATTATTATCTCTATTTTATAGATGAGGAAACTGTGACCCAAAGAATTTAAGTGTCTTGACCATGGTCACACACTAGTAAGTGTTCCAGCAACAAGCATTTATTAAGCACTCACCTTTAGGATCAAACACAAACCACTGTGTCTAACATTTAAAGCCCTTCACAAACTCATACAACCTACCTTTCCAGACTTATTACACATTATTCCCTCTCATGAACTCTCCAATGTAACCAAACAGGTCTACTCCCATCCTACTGAATCGCATGTAGGCTCTCTAGCTACTTTCCCGATTCCCCAGTCACCCTGGTAGGCTGGTATCCCCAAAGCTCAGATGGCTACTTCTTAATGCCTCAGAATCTAGCACTGAAGAGTTGTAATGTTTTTCTTTTTTCCTAGAGCTTCTGCTCATGAGCCCCCACCAGTGTGCTTCCTCCATGATTATGATTTGATATCAATTGGTCAGCCAGACTTTATTTACTTTTAGAAGGGGGCAATTGGTAAGATGGTATAGTGAGAACAGTTGGTACAAAACACTCCCACCAAAAATCTGTTGCCTTACTCTTCCCCAGGAATATACAAAGTCCAAGAGAAAGTAGTCTCAAGCTCAGAGAGCACATGTAGCAAAGGGCTCTTGGTTTCTAGAAATCCTTTTCTCCCTCTTGTGGGGTATTCACTCATACCCCTTAGGTACAGTGTAGTTTTTCTGTTGGGCTCATTGTAGAGTAATGAAACTACATTTCCTCAGTGTTTCTAGCTTGTCTTTCACTCCCAAGGCAGCTATCAATGGCTGCCATTGTTCCAGGAATACCAAAGGGACCCATGTTCTACAATGCCAAAGAGTCCAAATCCTCACAATATCCTCAACCCATGGTTGAGGTTGGGATTCTTCTCTTCCCCAAGTGATTCCTTCTCTCTGGCTTGGCTCTCTCTCCTCTCAGACACTTATATCCTCCAGTTCTGAATTGGTCTGCTATTTTATACAAAACCCACAAGATATGGCAGAGTCTCTTCAACCGGTACAAACGTAATTTATGTGGAACGTCACATCAGTTTATCCAATGGTTTTCAAGGATCTCTAAAGGAATCAAGGACTTTTAATACTTTGTTGGAATACCTTTGATTGATTCCACTTAAATAAGAGCTGTTTGCACCTGATTAAGAAATCAGGTTATAGCATTGTATAATTGACTTTAGGTGGGGTGATTTGATTGATTGACCCAACCAGCCCCCAGCCCTACATTCTATTCCATTATAAATCTCCATGCTTCTGCTTGGGTTGTTTCCCATGCTTGGAATGCACTCTTCCTCACCTCTGCCTCTTAGAACCTCTATATTTCTTAAGAGTGTCCTACATGAAGCCTCTCCTTATTCTCCTACAGCTGCTAGTTCCCCATCCCATTAAACAAATCATTTCATATTTATTTTGTATATGTTTTCATGTGTATGTGTTGTTTCTTCCTACAGAATATAAGCTCCTTGAGTGGCTGTTTCATGTTTATCTATGTATCCCCAGACCTATCAATCCATAAATATTTATTAAGAGCCTCCTACATGGCGGGCATTGTGCTAGGCACTGGGGCTACCAAAAAAAAAAAAGACAAAAGACAGGTCCCATCCCCAAGGAGCTCACAAATTATTGGGGGAGATAACATGCAAATAAATACGTACAAAGCAAGGTTGATTCAGGATAAAGAAGAAATAATTAACAGAGACAAGGTACTGGGAATAAGAGGGGTTAAGGAAGGCTTCCTGTAAAAGGTGGGTTTTTAGTTGGGACTCAAAGAAAATCAAGGAAGTCAGTAGTCCAAGCAGAGTAGGGAAAGTATTCCAGGAATGAAGGGTATCCAGAAAAAAGCCCGGAAGCCAAGAAGTGGATTATCTTGTTTGTAGAACAGCCAGGAGGCCAGTGCCACTGGATCAAAGATCTGAACTCAAGGTCCAGGCCTCTATCTGTTGCACCACCCTAGCTGCCTCTGTAAAATCAGCAAAAATTTTCCTTAGGTGACATCTGAGATGAGTTGCATAACAACCCTGTGAGACAGGTACTGTGGATATTATTTTTCTCATTTTACAGATGAAGAAACTGAGTCCCAGAAAAGTTAGATGACTTGCCCATTGTTACACAGCTCATAAGTGTCTGAGGTCAGATTTGAATTCAGGTCTTCCTGATTACAGGCCCAGCACGCTAACCAATGTGTTATCAACTGCCTCAGATATGTTAACTTTCTTCAAACGTTTTTCAATTTTTGAAATCATAATGATCTGTTTTATCTTTTAAAATTACTTCTATCCCTTGCTTGGTTAAGAATATATCTCTTACCCCTAATTGTGAAAGGCATATGTTCTGCTTTTCTTTTAATTTTTATGGGATCAGCTTTCATATTTACATCACAGATCCATTTTGAATTTATCATGTAATATGGTGTGAGATGTTTGTCTAAGCCTAATTTCTGCCAGACTGCTTTCTAAGTGCAATAGCCTTCTAATTGACCTCCCTATTTCAAGTCCTTCCTCATCTTTAATCCATCTTTCCCATAGCTGCCAAAATGATCTTCCTAAAGTATAAGATCAAATATAAAATCTGCCCCAGGGACCTCTGGAGGTGAAACAAACATTCCACACCTTAGAAAGGATGGGAGGCTTGAATAGTTCAAATGCATTTGAAGGGGTCAGTAAAAATAACAAACTTGCCTGAGAGCACAAAACTCATTGTACCGTGGCCCCAAGGTTCTCCTGTGCATAAAAACCCCACAAGGAGTCTGGGAAGTGGTAAGTGGCTGAATTAGCACTGATCATGGTAAGCCAAGGAAGCACCTCTGGCTGGGGGAATTAACCCTGAACCAGGAAGGGCTGTCAAATAGGAGAGGCTAGACCTCTGTCACCTCCTGCCTGGAGGTGACACACTTCACAGCAGAGACCCGAAGAGGAGTGAGGAGAGCCTGCATTAGGATGATGGTCATGTGGGTGGAGAGATGGGGAAGGATTTGAAACAGGTAGAGGGAAAATTGACAAGGTATCATACCCAAATCGCTATGGGGAGAGCAGGAGGGAGGAAGGATCCTGACACTGGGTGCCTGGAAGGATGGTGATGGCCAGGACAGAAAAAGGTAAATGGAGGGGAGGAGGGGAGGAAATAAAAAACAAGCATTTATTATGTGCCTGATCAAGCAGCCAGGTGGCGCTGTGGAGACAGCAACGCCTGAGTTCAAATCCAGCCTCAGAAACTTCTTAGCTGTATGACATGGGTTAAGTCACTTAACCTCTGTTTGCCATTGGAGAAGGGAATGGCAAAACCGCTCCAGTTTCTTTGCCAAGAAAAGCCCGTGCACAGAGATCCATGGAGTCACAAAGAGTCAAACATGACTGAAATGACTGAACAACAAATATGCCAGGTACTCTGCTATGTGCTTTACAAATATCTCATTTGATTCCCAGAATAACCCTGGGAGGTTGCTGATGCCATTATTATGCCCATTTTTCTGTTGAGGAAACTGAGGCAAATAGTTAAGTGACTTTCTCAAGGGTACATAGCTAGTAAGTGTCTGAGGCTAGATTTGAATTCAGGTCTTCCTGACTCCAGGTCCAGTGCACTCTCTCTGCTGTGTCATCTGGTGCCTCTAGGTGAGATGGGGTAGAATGAGTGTTCAGGGGAAAGATCCTGGGTTCTGTTTTGGACTTGTGCGGTTAGAGTTGCCTACCAGAGACCCAGATAATAAGATTCACGTAGGCAGGGATCCTGTCACGTGTATATTTGCATTTTTTATATTTACTTATACGTACATATATAAGAATGTCACTCCTTGAAGACAGGAACTGTTTTGCTTTTGTCTCTATGTTCCTAGCTCCTAGCACAATGCTTGGTAAACAGTAGGCACTTAATGCTTGTGGCTGAATAGGTTTCTCCAAGGCCTCAATTAGGCAGGTGACACGACCTGGGAGTGACATTTATAATATGTAGATAATTGTATGGCTTGTGGTGGTAGCTGAACAGTCATGTAAAGCTCTTATTACTTGAGGGTGATAAGAGGATTGACTGAGATCACAGAATCATAGAACCACAGATATAAAGCCAGACGGGACCTTACAAGCCTCCTCATTTTACAGATGAGGAAACTGAGGCTCAGCAAGGTTGGATTGTTTGCCAAGGGGGCATACCATCAACCAGTCAGTCAATAAACATTTATTAAGTACCTACTATGTGCTAGGTACTAGGCTAAGCTCTGCCTCAAGGACCTCACAATTTAATGGGGGAGAGAACAAGCAAAGAAATATTTACCAGGAAGCTATATACAGGATAAATAGGACATGATGAAAAGAAAGAGGGCACCACAACTGAGGGGTTAGGGGAGGCTTCCTGTTGAAGGTGGGATTTTAGTGGAGACTTAAAGAAAGTCGGAGAGAATGGTAATCAGAGCAGAGGAGAGAACACATTCCAGGCATGGGGCACAGCCAGAGAGTACACCTGGAACCCAGAGATGGAGGGTCTTGTTCATGGAACAGTCAGAAGACACAGCTATTTTTGTATTCCCAGCACAGAGCACAGTGTCTGGCACATACTAGGTGCTTAATAAATGTTTATTGCTTGGGGCAGCTAGGTGGCGCAGTGGATAGCGCACTGGCCCTGGAGTCAGGAGGACCTGAGTTCAAATCCAGCCTTAGACACTTGACACTAGCTGTGTGACCCTAGGCAAGTCACCTAACCCAAATTGCCTCACCAAAAAAAAAAAAAAGCTTATTGCTTTGACTGATGATCTCTTAAGTGTTAGGAGTGGGATTTGTGCCAGGTTTTCCTGATGCCAAGCCTAGTGCTCTAACCATTATACCATCCTGCCTCCTTATCCCTACCACCTCAACCCACCCATCCTCCAAAGTTCTCTGTTGTTTCTGTTGAGAACTCCCATTCCCCTTAGAGTCACCCAGGCTCACAATTTGTTTCCTCCTTAACACTTTTCTGATTCTCAGAAAACCACCCCCATCACTCCATCAAAGCTGTTGCCAAGTCTCAGTGATTCTGACTTCTCAGCACATTATGCATCCGTCTTCCCTCCTCCCCACTCACATTATCCCCATTCAAATTCAGGGTTGCATCACTTTGTGCCCGGACTATTGCAACAGCTTCCTAAATAGACTCTTGGCTTCCAGGCTCTCCTCTCTGTAATCCATCTTTCATATATCTGTTCTGAGGTGCGATCCAGGTCTAAGAACCTGTGGCTTCCTTAGACCAAGAGATATGCTGACTACTATATGACATTTTTAGGATGGCAGTTCCATGAATTTCTGAGTGACATGTTTTGTCACAGAAATCTAGAATCTGCAGAGATTTAGGCATCCTGGGGCCATTCTGTCTACATGTTTTGATTTACAAGGGACTGCATAAAATTTCTCTCTTAAAGAAGCCATTACACGACATGGAAAATTTTTTTTAAAGAACCTTTCTTCTGCCTTTATTGTTGTTTAGTAATTTCAGTCATATCTGATACTTTGTGACCAAGACTTGCCTAGGGTCACATAGCTAGGAAGTGTCTGAGGCTGGATTGGAACTCAGATCTCCCTAACTCTGACCTGGTGCTCTATCTATTGTGCCACCTAGCTGTCCTTTCTTCTACCTATTGGTAGCACTATCAATCCCTGCCTTGTTAACCTTTCCTTCCTTCCTTGTTTCCTCCCTCCATCCCTCCCTTCCTTTTTCTGTCCCTCTCTCCTTTCCTTCCTTTCTCTTTTCCTTTCTCCTTTCCTTCCTTTCTCTTTCCCTCCCTCCTTTCCTTCCT